TTTTCAGGATTCAATGAATGTTTGCGTTGCAGTTATTGACAATAAACGTGTCGTGTTTGTCAGCAATTTAATGAAACCCGTGCATATTAAATACATCTCTTTGGTACATGTTTTCGACTCCGAGACAGTGGTGTCGCGCCGTGATGACGTAACAAATCGGCGTTTACCGGGTAGCTATTTGCTAAATGGAACAATATGCTGTTGTTTTAGCCAACGAATAGAGTTTTACTGGGGGAAAAATAAACAATTCAACAACATGACCAACAGGACATCTTATTTCTATGACCCAGACGTGGGGAATTTTCACTACGGTGAGTTTATCGCAGTAAACAGTCTCTAAACCCGAATTACGCTACGAGAGCTAAGGTATGCTAACCACCGATGCATGCTTTTTTTGTACTTTTCAAAGATTCATTTTGCAGTTCAGGCTCTCTCTTCGCTGTGAAGTGTTAGATTTATTCGTTTAGGTCAGACACGCTTACATATTTTTTAAATGCAAATACATTAAAAAAAATACAGTCGCTGACATGCTCAGCATGCTAATTGTAGGATCTTTCCTGCAATATACGGGTTGTGATCTGCACATTTAAGTGTCAAATTCATCACATTAAGATTCAACTATTAAATAAGCAGATTTTTTAAATTGTTACCATTTACCTGTTGTAACGTTTCAGTTTGTCTATGTTATCTATCTATGTTGTCTCAGCACTGTTGTCATTGTATTACACCACGGAACCATTCGTTTGTAAGAGTGCTTCATTGGAGTCCAACGTGCACGTTGTTATATTTCCAGAACTGTAATATAACATTGTAGAATATTGTGTTTCTGCCAGGTGCTGGCCATCCGATGAAGCCTCACCGTCTGTCTCTGACACACAGTTTGGTGCTTCACTATGGACTCTACAAGAAGATGATGGTGAGTAGTGGCATTAACAAAACAATGGACTCTACAAGAAGATGATGGTGAGCAGTGGCATTAACAAAACACAAAATGTATTTGCTTAAAAAAAAAAGCTCAAATAAGAAGACATGGTTTCCAGTGTTCTCTTAATTACTAAAGAAAAGTCAAAATTAAGATAAGTAGGAAAAAAATAACTAAATTCTGGAGTAGATAACATAAAAACATTGAAATTTGGAATATCTCAACAGATAAAACCTAATATGATAATTTTAATATTTATTCACCGCAGATAAACGTGTATTTGTGTGCTACATTTCTAGGTTTTTAAGCCATACAAAGCTTCACAGCACGACATGTGTCGGTTCCACTCTGAGGACTACATAGATTTCTTGCAGAAGGTCAGCCCCAACAACATGCAGGGCTTCACTAAGAGCCTGAACACATTTAATGTGGGAGACGATTGGTGAGTATCACAGATGTTATGTTTTAAAAACATTTAACTAGATCAAGTCCAGACTGATACATTTTTTGACCTTTACTATTGCTGGCGTTTCAAAGATAACTACACAAACCATGACTAAACACATTCTCCCTTTCTCCCTGTCCCAGTCCTGTGTTTCCAGGTCTTTTTGAGTTCTGCTCCAGATACACTGGAGCCTCTTTACAGGGAGCTACACAGCTGAACCACAAGGTAAATGACAACTTAGACACAACATCCTTAATCTGCTTCATGGGTATACAGTACAGTACTTAAGTGATTAATAGTGCTTAATAATTTCATCTTTGTCTTTTCCAGATCTGTGACATTGCCATCAACTGGGCTGGAGGTTTGCACCATGCCAAAAAATTTGAGGTCAGACCGGAATCACGTTTAATTGTGTCAGTCTCGTGTTGTTAATTATATTACGCGCCATTATTTCAGACATTTATTTTTGTATTTGCAGGCGTCTGGCTTTTGCTACGTCAATGACATTGTCATCAGTATATTGGAACTCCTCAAGTAAGAGAGAACTTCTCTGGAAAGACACATTAATTTATTACCTCCTGTGTTGTCTGTAAGATTCAAGATGTGTATGTGTTATAAATATATATATATATGTTTGTAACAGATACCACCCGAGGGTTCTTTACATCGACATAGACATTCACCATGGTGATGGCGTCCAAGAGGCGTTTTACCTGACAGACCGTGTCATGACTGTCTCTTTCCACAAATACGGCAACTACTTTTTTCCAGGAACAGGTACTTAAGTTACTTAAAAATATATATAATTAAATATAATAATAATTTCCTGTGTACTTTTGTTTTACAAAAGCAGATGTTTAATAATGCAGTTTTTGCACCATTTGTTAAGGTGACATGTACGAGTTTGGTGCAGAGAGCGGCCGGTATTACTGCCTCAACGTTCCTCTCAGGGACGGCATTGATGACCAGAGTGAGTATTTGTAATACAAACATGATGGATGTATATCTCCACTTCGTCAGCTGATGACCGTGTGAACTTCATCTGTGTGTGTGGTTCAGGTTACAGACACCTCTTCCAGCCGGTTATTAAACAGGTGGTGGATTTCTACCAGCCGACCTGCATTGTTCTACAGGTCAGTGATTTCACAGATCAGTAAAAACTATTGTTTTTATTCTGATTAATCACAGGGTAGATGTGGATTTTAATGATCATTAATCATGATTGAGACATTAACATCCCTAGAAATTACAATTATTAATTACAGCAAAATCTATTGCTGGAACAACAACGACACACCTGTTTTTATTAATATGTTTAAATGTCAAAATATGACCTGAGGTTGAGCCTCTACTCTACTCTTTTTATTAATATGTTTAAATGTCAAAATGTGGCCTGAGGTTGAGCCTCTACAAACTGCTGAGAGTGGAGTGAAAATGAGTTAAAAAAATTAAGTGAGTGGAGTGAAAATGAGTTAAAAAATTCTAAGCTGATTCAATTCACAGTTTTTGACAGCCCTACAGTAATAGTTACTCAATATTTTGAATTTGACCACATACATTTGACCACATCCTTGATGTCTTGACAGTGTGGAGCAGATTCTCTTGGTTGTGACCGACTGGGCTGCTTCAACCTCAGTATACGAGGACATGGGTAAAAGAGGCTCAATTGAATTCATGTCTGAATGTTGTTTGTTTTATTTGTTTAAATGCAGTTGAATGCTGCTCTCTTTTTCTAAAAAAAAAAATTAATTCTGCTGTGATTTGTATTTTTTTTGTTCTCCTGCAGGGAGTGTGTTGAGTTTGTAAAAAGCTTTAAAATTCCTCTGCTTGTTCTGGGAGGTGGAGGATATACTGTGAGGAATGTGGCTCGCTGTTGGTAAGACGTGAAGGATTTCATTGGTCTCTAGTCAGTAAAACAGGACAGAAGGGCCGGGTTAAAAGTGAGAACATGTGTGTTGTAGGACCTACGAGACGTCTCTGTTAGTGGACGAATCCATCAGTGATGAACTGCCTTATAGTGGTGAGTGGAACCTCTCGAAATTTAGTTCAAATTCATCACTGTATCAATTTAATACAAAGCTTTCGGTTCAAACTGTGCCCATTAGTAGTAATCTGAAAGAACCGTATGTAATACTTAATCTTTGATTTTCTCCAGAATATTTTGAGTATTTTGCTCCAGACTTCACGCTGCATCCAGACGTCAGCACCAGGATAGAAAACCAAAACTCCAGACAGGTAACAAGTCCAAGTCACAATGGATGTTGTGCCTCAAACAGACTGTAACATTTAACACACTCTTCTGTGGTCACCGAGTTACTGCAGTCAGAAATACTGTCTCTCTGTGTCTTCAGTACTTAGAGCAGATCCGTCAGACTGTGTTTGAGAACCTGAAGATGTTAAACCACGCACCCAGCGTCCAGATCCACGACGTCCCCTCAGATATGCTGAGCTACGAGCGTAATGACGAGCCAGACCCCGATGAGAGAGGGGCAGAGGAAAACTACACCAGGTCTGAACAGCTGCAAAACCAGTCCAGTACATTCAGCTTATGAGTGTCAGAGCTTCCTCTCTCATTTTCTCACAAAATGCTCGACATCAAAACCACAAATATGCGTGCCGATCGGCAGTCGTAGCTGCTGATCGATCAGTGAATCTTTAAAAGATAATTTTCTTCTGCAACTAACTGTTTCCAAAATGTCACCCTCACAGACCTGAGGCATCCAACGAGTTCTACGATGGGGATCACGACAACGACAAAGAGAGCGATGTAGAAATTTGACCTCGGGAAAATGCCATCTTCAATTCTCTGGTCAAAAGAACTTTCAAAGAAGGGCTGAAAATCTGAAACTCTCTATCTGATCTACTGCAACACAGAACACGTCACGTTGGACACGTTGGACCTCTCTATCTGATCTACTGCAACACAGAGCACGTCACGTTGGACACAGAGCCTGTTTTGACTCATTTCTTTTGGTGTTCGACTAAATGTGTGAAGTGTTACACCAACGAACAGTTCAAATTTTCACAACAACACCTTCTATTATACACAGTGTGGCAGCTGTGTTATGTCTACTCTTGTAAAATAAATATTGTAGGAAAGTTCTTTTTCTTTGCCTAACGGTGAATTTGTAATACCCAATGTTTTAAATATATTTCTCTGTCCTTTGTTTAAATACATTTTTTAAATAGGAATTTCTCTTTTTTATAATTTTTTTGTAATTTCTTTTGTTAGCAGTACATACATTTACACATAAGCACACGTGTCCAGAAACACAGACAGGGGCATTTTAGCCATTGTAAGTATTAATATCTGTGTTTTTATGTAACAAAAATTTACAAATAAAGATTTGAGTTCACTTTTGTGAAAAAGATCATGAGAAATTGATGGGGGCAGTCTTTAACTGTTTGACATCTGTTTTAGATTCCACACCTCAATCAAAAATCAGGTCAAATCACGATGCCAAATGACACTGAGCTGATTTAGACACCACTCAATCTTTGTCCTACATTCCCTTTTTTGCTTGTCATGTCTATGTATATACACGTGTACCTGTGTGAAGGCTGGTAGTGAACAAAATATTTGGGTCTGAGGTTGTAATTGAAGCTGCTGTTGTACACACACACACATTATCGGTGAACATGATGTGACTTGTATTGTTTAGTTTTTAAACTTTATTTTTAATAAAAAAATAAAACCAGTTATGTTTATTCTATGTTTTGTTTTTTTAAATGACCACCAGATGGCGACAGAACCGCTAATCATTCAGAGCCTCGTCGCAACAGACATGGCATTACTGCGGCAACGGAAGGTAATTTAGCTTCACTACAGCGCCATGTTTCGTGTTTCACTATAAAGGACATTTTTATATCTTACTGCACTTGCGCGACAATTTTATGTTTTATGACACTTGATCCAGGTTTATGGCTTATTATAAAACTTTTTTTTTTAAACGGCTGAACTTTGAAGAAGACTGACATCTACAATTATGTTGGTTTGATACAAAGAAGTCACTATTAACATAAGAGTAATGAAAAATATCTAGTGGTATTAACAAAAACATGTCTCTCAGGCGTCATGGAAAACCTTAACACATTTTATAATTTATCTTTATCAAATCTCGGCTACATGACGTTTTAATTGCCCCTCCCTCCCCCGTTATCAACCATGTCATAATCATGCCTCCACAGCAGAACTAAGGACAGGAACACTAAAAGGTAACATCTGTAACATTTGTACACATATTGACTGAAATATCTACACACACATTTAAATGCATATATACAAATATATACACATAAATACACACATACATCTATAAACAGCCAGGGCCACAGCCCCCCGCCCCCCCCAAAAAAAATATTTTCAAGAACATAAAATATAATTTTAAGGTATTTAAGGTATTTTCAAGGGCAATAAACAAATGTGATGACAACCAGTTGCAAAAATAAAAAACAAAAAAAATTAAGGGGCTATAATTAGACCATTTATCGCTGCGCACGTGCGTCGTTCTGTACGTTGTTGTCAGTAAATCATATTTACACGTCACAAGTTAGTTCCTTATCATGACGCATTTTATCCCCTGTGAAAAGACAACACCCTTACATCGCAGGGTGGGTAATAAAGTGACCACTTCATTTTGTTTACCAGAACACATCTATGCTTCTGACTCTGGTGGCTAATGTGTGTACTGTAAGGCCGTGATAATCCAAAGTCTGAGCAGATAAGATACATTTTAGTCATTAATGGGTCTTTTTGTTCTGCTATAAAAAAAAAAAGGTTGCCATTTCCTTTAAACGTGTCAAATGCATATTCATGAATAAAGTTGTTTTTTCAAATTCGTCTCAAGACTTTTAGACATTTTCATAGACAGCAGGGGGAGGGGGGCAAATGAGTTAAAACCCCTTGGTAATCAACTAAAGTTTTTTAAACATTTGATCTATTTAGCTTCAACACAATCTCTATGACGGTGTTGTGTTTAGCCTAACAAATGAGGAAAAGGCTGAGAGCTTTGTTACTGGCACTGGATATAAGGCTGTGTTAATCATTGATATTTACAACTCGAGGACTGGGAGGAGGAAGAGCCAAAGGTCTCGTCTTTGACATCAGTAACAGGTGAAGCCTCTCTGAAGGTTCACAGGTAAGTCTCGCGGGGAAAATTTTATAGAAAAGGTTTGATTTTAAAGTATCAGGGTGTTTTTTTTGTTTTTTTTAATACCACAAAATGAGTAAATGTAAGAGAGGAAGGAAAGAGGAAGTGATCAATTATAATTTTGAAAGATGAAGTCTGATTTTATCAAAACTCTTTCAGGCAGGGCTGACAGCTTCAAAAATTCTATCGTTGATATCTCAGGTTGAGATGTGTTACGATGTGTTTTATCAAGCTTTTCAAAACAATACGATTTTAAAAATCAGATTTTAAAAAAATCAATACGTTTTTAACCAAACCTGATAGAAATAGAGGTAAAATGATCAAAGCTTTGTAACCTGTAAGGTTTTGGTGTTTCTGTAAAACCTAGAGCTCTACGGAATTTTCCCAGAAATCTTTAAAATGAGGAAGTCGATGTTGGTGTTTAGAATCAACCAGAAATCTTTAAAATGAGGAAGTCGAGGTTGGTGTTTAGAATCAATGGGAGGAAATGAATATATACGCTTATTTTTTCCCCCCCGTAGTTCTTGACTTAGCCTTTATGCCTGATGTAGTGAAGTCAGAGTTCATTCAATTCTGTGAAACCAAATATAAATGTGTTACTAGTGGCTTCACTTTTATTTCAATCAAAAGCTTTTGAAAAGAGACAAACACGGGGCAAAACTCAAAATTGCAATATTTACTTTATATTTTAATATTTTATATTTTTCAAAGACCTAAATCCACAAACTTCTAACTATTTTGTTCAAGTTGTACTTGTTCCTTGACAGGAAGATAGGAAGGTAATAAAAATCTGGTTTTTGTATAAACGAAACCTTCCCAGATTATTGCCCACTGGTTGTACAATCTAAGAAATTACAGCTCCCACTGGCAGGACTGCTATGCTTACGGGTTTTTTCTTTTCATTTTCAGATATGGACAATATCATAGGAAGTATTCTCTTGTTGTGCCTTATCAGCTTAACTAATGGTGACTATCCAGTATATTGTATTTTTTTTAAATCTTTTTTGTCATCATGTCCTTAATACTATCTCCCAAACCCATTTTATTCTCCGTCAAAGCAAACACCGCTCCGACTATCCATCAGGATCTGTACCGTATCTGTGAAGACACTCCCATTGGTGCGTTTGAGTATAAACAAATAGAAAACAGTTTAAAAATTCATGAATGACATGCCTTTCAAAATAAGACAACTATTTTTTTTAATGTTTTTTTACAGGTGCCACTGCATTTACTATAAACGCCACAGACGTAGACAAGGACCCACTGATCTACATCCTAACTGGGTCTGATGCCTCATACTTTGAGGTCAACAGAGCCACTGGGGAGGTGAAACTCAAGCTGCCTCTAGACAGAGAGGTACAGAGAGCTCAAATTTATCTCACATTGTCCTTCACTTGGGACAAGAGAACTTTTCTTCTTCTAAGTGAAATGCATTTACTTGTGTTACCCTACAAACAGGGGAGTCAGCAGGGTACTGTGTTTGTACATATTTTTTTTACTACAGTTTTTAGTATTTTTTTGTGTCAGAACTTGGCACAGGATGAACGACTCAACACACAAACGGAACCAATCAGTGCAGGGTTCGCGAAGGGGCACAAGACCGGGTCATTTAAACCCAATAAAGCATCGCTTCACGGACTACACATGCCCGCAATTGCGGGACTTACAAGAATTGCCACATATAGTCCGAAAGATACTACTACGATCTAAACACACGGCTCGAAGCATTTGATAGTAAGACTTCAGCAACACAGAGAGCGACCGTTTCATTCTGAAGTCAATCGGACGGATATGACGTCTAACAAACCAAGACAACAACGATAATATTTGGTTATCTGGTGCTTGATGATAAAACCACAAAGAGCGACAGCGTCATTCTCACACCCACTTTATCTCTGCCAACTGATACCAGGCTACTGTATCAATAGCTATAAAGTTGAGTAAAACTGACACAGCAGCCCACGGGTTCAAATTCATCATGAAGTATTAGGCTTACTCACCATTTCTTGTAAGCGCGAACTCTTCCACGATATGTCCATTTTCTTTCCTTTGGAAACGGCCGCATGGCTGGTCCACTGCGTCTCTCCGGTCCCATGGTGTTTTTTTACGAGTTGAAACATAGAGAATGTGTGCTCAGAGGTTAAAAGGTTGACGGGAAGAGTTTAAAAAAAAAAAAAAGCTACTCACCGTGTATCATTCGTTTGTGTTGTCAAACTTAAAACAAAACAAAAAAACGAAATAAAGACTCCCTTTAAAAATATTCAAGAAGTAAAATATAAAAACAAAAAGGGTCACAAACTGTTTTCCGATTTTGAGCACTTGAGCAATTTATCGGGCGATTGTCCAATTTTAATTTGATGCATTGCGCGTCACCCGAAAGTGAAAAAGAAGGAATAAAACGATTCGTTACTGTCCGATCTGCGTCACCTGCCCAGATTTGTCGCGGTCAGGATTAATTGGAAGCTGTGACTGGCCAATTACAGGCCACGGTCATGTCAATTACGATTCCTATTTCTAAAATAGAGGGTGGGTCAAGCCGAGGCTAGCAGTCATTGGGCGAGGCAGTTCTTAAGTTCAGGTATTTATTTATTTAAATAGGTCTTAAAAGACTTTGTGTCTAAATGCAGTGGCTTTGTTACACATTATAATAGTTTTTAACTTTCTTTCTAGTTCTGCAAAATCGCATCAAGGTTTGTAAGCGTGTACTGAAACAAAGTTGATGATGTAAATGTATTTTAATCAAATAATAATTATTCTTTTTTTTTTTACATTTTTATTTTAGAGTGGCGGTATATTGGAGGATCTTGAGGCTATTGTCACCGATGGACAGTTAGACGTAAGTCACATATAACAGTTGAATGTTTCATGTTATTACATTACCTCTACTGTTGGGTTAGTAAAAGTGCTGGTTACAATGTTTTTCAGGCTAGAAAGAATCTTATTATATTATTGAGAGATGCAAACGACAACAGACCTTTGTTTGTGGATTCTTCATACGACGTTACCATCCCAGAGGTACGTCATCCATCAAATATCAGGTCCTGAGGGTGTATATTTGTGTACATATTCTTTACGCTGCAGAGTTGGGTTTTTTTTTTTTTTAAGTTTTGTCTTTTTTTAATCCCCATGTTACTGAGTAGAACAGAGCTGTGGGAACGAGTCTGTTTAAGGTGGAAGCTATTGATATAGACGATGGTGTTGCCGGAGCTGTCAGCTACAGGATCGACGAGGTAAGATTCCTGTTAGCTCAGTGAAAGGTCCATGTCTTAATGTTCCACAAACACTGCTCACTCGGTCAATCTGTTTTTGTAGGTTACTCCAACTGCTGGATCTGGTCTCTTCACTATTGTTAGCACAACTGGTGAAGTCAGATTAGCAGGATCTCTGAATTATAATACCCTCAGCACTTTCTATCGACTGAAGATTAACGCTACAGTAAGTACTTGGACTGTATGCTTTTTAGGTCATACTTTTAATAATCCATCTCTCTTATCATAATTTGAATTTGTCATTATAATATCGTCAATCAATTTGAAGTTTTGAGATGTAGTACTACTAAGTTGGATGTAAACAAGTAAGTACAAACATCTGCACACTTTTCAAATGTAATTTTTGAATGTCTGATTTTAGGACGGTGGAGGCCGGTGTTTTCGCGATGAGACAAATTACCATTCAAGTGCGATTTTTACCATCGTTACCGTATTGGACGTCCCAGACCTGAACCCAGTATTCGAAAACCTTGCATACTCAGGGAGTGTTAAAGAAAACTCTGCGGTGGTGAGTTCTGTGTACAAATGTGTAGAGATCACAATTTTTTAAACTCATTAAAACCTTGACATCTGACCTTGAAGTTCAGTTGAAGACCTTTCAAACTTTCCTCAGGAATCACTGTAAAACTAAACAAACATACATATATATGTTATTCATCTTATCATATAATGTTTCACTAAATACATTGACATACAAGCATAAAAACAGACATTTTAAACTGATAGAAACGAGTCCACGAGCCCAATGCTAATATATATGGGGAATTACAAAGTGGTGCTAGCGGTTAGCATGCACAGATTAACTAATGTATTTCCTACTCTAATTTGTGTTCTTCAAATACAATATTACAACATCTTAACATAGAGCAATACTCACAGGCAAACTAATTCTTCGTTTGTTGTAGAAATTATGTTTCTCGCAACCTTCCGTTGCCTGACTTCCTATCGTCTAAACCAGATACGGCAACTCTGAAGGCACAAAATAAAAATTACTGAAAGAAAATACTTGCGTTAAACTCAAATAAAAAACCAGAACATCACAACGACCGTCACATTTTTTTTAGTATTTTTTAAAATTAAAACCTCTTAGACAGAAACTTCTTCACAAACATTATACACTTAATAATATTATTAATAATAAAAATAATAATTTATTGTCAACCTTCCAAACCCAAGAGGATTAATCTATCAACTTTTTTTTTCAGATCTCAGCAGTTTATTTTCCATCCACAGGAAAACAATTACAATATTATTTAGACAAGAGTTCATCTTTATGAAAATAAATAAATGGTTTAAGATAGTGTCATCCAATCCATGACAACAGGATTATTGGTGCACATTTGGGGCAGAATATCACTGGGAAAATCCAATTGCCCCTGAACGAAATATTCTGGAGAGTAATTCTTTTATGCAATTTTAAATAAAACGTTTTCTTTCTTCAACAGGACGTATCTGTGTTAAAAGTCACTGCCACAGATCAGGACAAAGGCATCGGGGACAGTATTCACTACAGTATTGAAGGTGAGCCTCTGGTAGTTGCAGACAACAAGCTGTTGCATTAAGTGAGCAACTGAAAAATGCTAAAAATGAAAAATGTTAAAAAAATAAAAAAGGTAAATGTAACCATATTGTTTGACAGCATCATCTGTAGAAGGACTGTTTAAAATCTCCAGGAATGATGGCACCATATCAGTCCTGGCACACATTGACAGGGAAGTTGTTGGTGATACCATCACCCTGACTGTAAAGGTACAGTTCGTTTTTTAATCCAATTCAGATAATTACTGTTTTACTAAAATTATTTGTCCAATCAGATCAGTGTGTAAAATGATTTCTTTCAGGCCACGGAGTCTAAACCAAACATCCATGGTTTAGAAGCCAGCACCACAACAACTGTGCTGATCAACATCATAGATGTCAATGACAATAGGCCCAAGTTCTACAAGTGTGGCACTTCCTGTGAGGAGGCCAGTCACTTCACAGGTGATGTCCTTGAGCACTCGCTGGGGGCTATTCCCATTAACATGACAGTCAAGGATCTCGACAAGGTATGAAAATACGTCACTGACTCAAAGGCTCACATTTGTCCACATTACACGTATGGCTGCTGAGTGGAACTTCTTCACATCTCTTCCAGTTCTTCAGCACCAGACTTACTCTAGAGGGAGCTGACAAGGACGTGTTTTCTGTGGAACCTGCAGTCACCATGGTACACGGCAGTGTCGTGCTACAGGTCAGACAGCCCCAACTACTGGATTTCGAGGAAAAACAGCAAATGATTTTGCAGGTAACAAAGATACGATTCAACAAAGCCTATTTCTAAAGGAATATTTAGTGTTTAAGTGACTTCAACTTGTAAAGATACTGATACTGGACTTTGTGATCTGGCCTACCAAACACTGGTAGAAGGTATAGTACAGACTGATGTCAGATGTAATTTCTATTGCTGCCACTAGATGGAGGCAGACATCAAATGTGCCAAATTATCTTTGAAAGTTTAGGTTTATTCTTGAACATTTTATCTAGCATTACACACCCAACAAACACTGAACTGGCCCCCAGTCACATTTTGAACCTCATTATAAACCTGATTGTCTTTATTGTTCACCGTGTGCTGATGTCACCTGCAGGTTATCGCCACAGATGAAGATAATCCAGCATTTAAATCCACCGCTACAGTTACTATTACCATCAAGGACGCCAATGACAACAGCCCCACATTTCCAAATAACACCTACAGGCTGACGATCCCTGAACACTCTGAAGTGGGGACTTTGATTGCCACCATCACTGTAAGTTATAAATGTTTTTCTCCTAAACAGTCTCAGCAAAGGTAACATCAATGAAACAATCATTCATATTAAGTTTTGTCTTCACAGGCAGAGGATCCTGACACCATGGATCAAAACAAAATTACTTACAGACTTTTCCCTGACAGCACGTACGTCTACATCCTTTCAAGTGTGCACTGTTACATACAGCAGGTTGTTGGTTCACGGCCACAACAGCCCTGAGCACCCTCTGCCTCTGTGTTTCCAGACGACAGTTTTTTGATGTAGAGGAAACCACAGGCAGAATCCTTGTGAAGAACAAAGCTCTGTTGGATCGTGAGGTCAGACCTGTGCATACGGCAACTCTGCAGGCCACAGACACAAGCGGCAAGCCCGGCACGACAGTGCTGGAAATAACTCTGACCGACATCAACGACCAGCCTCCGGTCATGAACAGGGAATCTTATCTGGTGTTTGTGGAGGAGGGAAGCATGTTGGAAGTGAAGATAGAGGTACGGGAAGACAACAATTCACTCATTATTATTGTTTTAATTATTTGCAAATTAATTTTAATCTTCGAGGCTTCATCAACTCCAGAACTGTCTCCAAAACATTGTTTCATCCACAACCCCTTCCCCCTCCTCCTCCTAATTTTGCCAGGCTACTGACGCCGATGAACCTGGTACTGTAAACAGCCAGATTACCTACCAGATTGCACCGAACGACTACAGCTTTAATTTCACCATTGACCCAACCAGTGGTGTCTTGAAAAACAATAGTGCGCTGGATCGTGAAGCTCTGAGCCCGGAGCTCAACGGCAGGATAACATTCAATGTAACGGCTGCTGACAGAGGAGTTCCTCCACTGTCCACGTCAGTGCCAGTTATCATCAATGTAGAGGTGAGACCTGAGCACCGTATGTTGGGCCACTCCTGCTCCTTCAATGCCATGAAAATAACACACTGACCATCTTCTCTTGATGCAGGACATTAATGACAACACGCCAAAGTTTGAGACGTCCAATTACAATTTTGTGGTTAAAGAAGGGGAAAAAGGTTAGCATTACTGTTTCCAAAGTACTTTCAACTGTTCTGCATTTCCCACTTTTGATTCTTACTTTCCCTTCAAATCCACTTTCCCACTTTTGATTCTTACTTTCCCTTTAAATCCAGGTGCCCTAGTGGGTCTCGTTAGGGCTGAGGACTTGGACCAAACCACAGACTTTAATCGCATTTCTTTCAGCATCATTAGCGGAAGCATCGGCAGCTTCATCATCCGCACTGAAGCCGATGAGCGGGGGGGCTACAGGGGAACTATCATGGTTGACCCCGACATTGAATTGGACTTCGAGAGTAATCGCAAGCAGTACACACTGACCGTCGAAGCAGCAGATCTGGAGCAGAAGAAAGCGTCAGCCACCGTGGATGTGTTCGTAATAGACGTGAATGATGAGAGGCCCGAGTTCAAGCCAACGGCGCCCGTGACAGTGAAAGAAAACACGACCATTAGTGAAGTCGTGGGGAGATTCGTCGGACAGGACAAAGACGGAAACCACTCGCTGGTTTACGTGTTGGAATCCGTCACTTGCAGTTGTAACGGCTCGTGGACTCCATGCAACTGGTTCATCCTTGATCCAACAGGGGGAGTCAGAGTTAACCCAGAGGCTACGGTGGACTATGAAGAGTGTACCCAGGCAATGATGGAGGCTCAGGTGGTGGACGAGTTCACAGAAAAGGGCCAAAATAACAGTGTGTCTCCAGGTTGGTGTTATTAAACGTACAGTTCAGTTTGTATCAGGAGGCCTAGAGGACTACATTAGTACAAAGTGAACCGCGGTCCATTAAATATTAGGCTCTCTAGGGGGTGCTTTTGGCCTATGATTAAGAATCACTGGCTGGAGTGCTGCAATAGTACTGGAGGTCTTCTAGCTACCACCGAAGAGTACTACAGTATTCCCAGCAGTCCTCTGCCTTCAGAGTACTGACACCCTTCCCCAGAACACTTTGTAAATTAAATTATGGGTACTTGGTGCCAGTTGTACTATTGTCATAAACACCTGCTCATTAAGTTTCTTCTTTGATATTATTTCAGGACAAATGGTGATCAACATTGAAGACATCAATGACAACGCGCCGGAATTTATTGTCTCCGATTCTTTATTTGGTCAGTACATTTGTCTGTGTTTGTTTTCACCACTAATACTTTATTCTAAGAACGCTTTATGACTCCTCTTTGTTTCCCTACTCTAGTGGTTGTTTCTGAAACTGCAAGTAAGGGGACCTCTGTCGCTGGAGTCACTGTGAGTAAGAAAAAAAGCAAAACAACAAGAAATGAAATGACTTCAGTTCCTTGACTCAGCAGGATGACCTCATGTTTTTATACGTGGCTGCTCTCAGGCTACAGACCGCGACACAGGAGTTCACGGACAGATTGACTTCAAAGTAACGTCGGTGCAGTTTAGAGACGACAACAACAACAAGACAACAAACATGAGGCTGCTGTTTGAGGCTGTCACTACTCAGCAGAGGGATTTATACGTCGGCATAATTCAGTGAGTAAAAACAGGTCAACCTGAAAACGTGTGACTGTGTGAGTGCCTGTCTGTTAATGTTCTAGGACAACAACAGTACCAGTACTGTTTAAACAGGAACCAGGTCAGTACCTGGTGTTTTGATTAACATATGAGGCCGGCCGTCTGTTCTGCACGTTTAATACGTAATTTGGGTAGCTCGTGGAACCGTCCCCCATTGCCTGAAATGGAGCAGTACCACTGGAAATCTCTGGGGCAGTGTTGCGCAGGATAGCTCAGTACGCCCAAAGACGGGACAGAAAGAAGAGGCAGACGACAGAACAACTACAAACATGGCCGAACCAGGGAAAAGAATTCAATTCCCTCTGTTTCGTTGAACGCCCCTTCAGTCTAATTCTCTAGTTTCCTTCAAGTGTTATTTAGATAAAGGTCAGCTCTGGACCCTGAAGAGGATTACATAGTGGAAGATGAATGAACTTCCCATTAGTTATTAACTCGTGTACTGTTGTTCTATTGGTTTGTTGGCGTTTGTACTGTGTTTTTCAATGTGTTACAAAAACAAAAGTACTCACAGGCTCACGTACTTCAACCATCCACAGATCTACCGAAGGCCTCGACATTTCACTGAGAGGGAAATACTTGGTCACAGTAGCAGCGACCGACACTGGCAGCCTCTCCCGTAGCACAGTGCTGGAGGTGAGTGACTTGAAGTGAAACTGTACTGGAAGTTACCAAGGAGACAAAAAGTACAACATGTGTTAATTTTGATCTGATAATTCAGATTTTCATAGTTGATGCATCCTTTAAAGTCGAACTTCAGTTCACAAGAACAGTGGAGGATGTTGAGCAAAATCTGGACGACATCATCAGGTAAAACCTTCTCTGAGCAAAACTATGGTTAGTTAAAGTATTCTATGTGTCACAGATGAGTACTGTACATATTTTTCTTTTTGTGAACTTAACACTTTTCTCATTCAGACCATTCTTCTAATTAACATATAATTTCTCATTTCTACATTTGCAGGGCGTTGACCACTGCCACCGGGGCTGCTGTTCAAGTTGTCGAAATTAAACTTCAATCTCTAGAAGCATTGAGGCATGTACAAAAAAGAAGGTTTAATAATAAAACCAAACTGTTGCATTTACCTTATTTATGATTTTAGGCAAATGTGTTCCTTATTATTTGGGCTTGGAACCATGTATAAGTATAGCTTGGTATTTAGGTTATTCAAACAATCCACAGACGTATGTTCATGTTTATGTAATCAATGGTAAAGTAACAGGGAGTGAATCACCAAAAACTACCAAAAAGTACAGTATAAAAACATTTCTATAAATACCCCCCTCCCCATATCCCATTATAAAATGTGCTCTTTTTGCCCACTAGATGGTGCAAGTGTGCCTGAGAAACAGCCTCATTTTCAGGGATAACGGATTTATTAGTAGAAAAGTGATTAAAAACTACACTTGTTCCCGCAGGTCTTCGCCCATTACGGTCATGGGGGTGTACTTTGTCTACTCCAACGGGACAGCCCTCAACTCTAAGGAAGTGGAGAGCATGGTGTCCAGTCCTGAACATTATCCTGTCTTATTTGGTCTTGGCCTTAGGTACATCGTAAGTATCTAACCTTGAGTTTCTTTTTTTTTTCAATTTATTATAGAACATTCGCTCATATTTGTAAGATGTCTTTAAACCCTGTGTACACCCACAGGACTGTCTAATTAATGTTATTTAAACTGAATTTAATTTCAGGTTTACATGAAAAACATTTTTTCAATTATACTTTGGCTAAGATTAATACATTAATAAATAATGTAATTAAACTAAATATTGCAATTTCTTTAATATTATGTACAAAATTATACAAAACCAAATATATAAAATTAAATATATTGTTATAAGAGTATATTTATAATAAGACTGTGAAATATGGTTAGATCTTCTGTAACAGGGTTAGATTTACATGTGGTAAAACACATGTACAGTACTACAGTAAAACAATGTACTACAGTCAGACTTCTTTATCGTTGGTATCAGGGAGGAACTACTGAAGTTGAGACTAACAAGGATCCTCTGGCTTATGTCCTCCTGGGGATAGTGGTCGGCCTCATCGTCGTGCTGATTGTGCTCATCACTTCTCTGGTGTGCACTCGCAGAAAGTAAGAAATTTAATTTGGAACAAACTAAGGAGCTGGACAAAAACTTTCTAACTTACCTCGGGTGAAATCCTGTGAGAAGACTTATCAAGATGAATGCGTTTTTCTCCGTCCTACAGCTTCACGAGGAAGCTGAAGGCTGCTAAAGCCATGAACTCTGCAAAGATGATGACATCTGACAACCAGAAGAATGGAGCTGTGGTACCAGGGACAAACAAGTACATGACTGAGGGGTGAGGACACAGTATTTATACACAAAATGCAAAAAGTATATATTTAAAAAAAAAAAAATGTAATTTTGCCGTACATGTCACTGTTTCTGTAACAGAGCCAATCCTGTTCTCAACCTGAACATTGACTCAACCATGGTCATGGATTTGGATCAGGAGACCCCAGACGTGGACAAAGTCAGGTAAAGACGACCTTTTTTAAGCCTCCGCACAAATTTACATTAAAAAAATCCCCAAAATGTTTATGTAATAAAATATAATTTTCTAGTTTCATTTTTTTATTTTAAATTTATTCAGTTTGAAACCTGGGCCTGTTTAGTTGAACTCAATACAGGAATTGAAGAAAGAAAGATTTTCTCTCTTATTCTCGCTATTAAACAAAGTTCACGACAGACACAAATATAGCAAATATTTACAATAAATTAATTTGTTTTGCTGCGCCCACCCACGAACTAGCCTCACGTGCCCAAATGTTTACCATCTTTTTTTCTTTTCTTACAAAGCCTCGACTCTTTGGACTACAACAATGACGAGATGACCTTCGGAGAGGGAACAAAACATAACATGGTGAGTTGTCCCTTTTTTTTTTAAATCTATCCACACTTTTTCAGCTTTTTTTTAGGACTTTGCTAAAACACTTGTTTTGTTTTTTACAGTTGTTCGAGCAGGAAGAGGAGGAACGTACCAGTAGACAAGAATACGATGAGCCACTGGATGAAGCTCTGGCCCAGCGAATAATGAAGAAAGACAAACACAAGGTGGTGTTTGACAACATGGCCTTCAGCACCACAGAGATCTGAAGGCAATAATCCAGGACCTGGCAGTAATCTGAATCCGCACTGGGCGGACACGTGTTCATTCTTCGTGTCCAAATTCCAAAAATCATGTTCTACTCAGTCTCTATACTCACAAGTGACAAGCATGAATTTACAGCCTTTGCTATTTGTTGTTGTTTTTTTGTCTCTTTTTTTAAAAATATGCACTTGGAATTTTGCACTTTGATTTTTAAAATAAACCCCAGAGAGAGTGTATTTAACCATTTAGCCACTCAAACGGCTAAAAATGACATTCAATTAGTGACCAGAAAGTTACATCCTGGTTGCAGAAATGAATTAAAAAAAACTTAACATATTGAAAAGTTTGTTTTTTATATATGTATAAATGACAGTTAATTTTAGTTTCATACGGAGACGAGTTTGTTTATAATATTTTGGCACTCCGTCTTATCAGACAGTCACGTGACGTTTACAGATCCCGCGTCATTTCCCACAGCTGAAAGTGATAAGTGCAGAAAACCTACAATAACAAATGTCCAGATGCTAACAAACAAGCACAGCGACATCGTAATAACACTAATCCAGAGAGAGGACTTACGACACCTGTTCGTTGGTTCAATTCCCCGTCATTCTGCATCGAGTTTGCTTGTAATCCCTCAGTTTCTTCCGTTTCCTTCCTTCGTGTTTACACCGCGACGATACGACAACGAATTCCGGAGCTCAACGCTACGTCATAACAACAATGTCTGACGCCAGGCTACGTCTGACCGCGCTAACAGAGGCTAACTCGATTACCTGGTGTGCTACAGCTAATTATTCCACTTTTGCAGCATCTCCATATTGAGAGGCAACAACAGTTTGTGAGGAACACTATACTTGTGTTTGAGCTGTGGTGACACAGCACCGCCTATTGGTCTGGCGTATGTACTACAACTACAGCAGTCGCATTAAGAGGTCCCGCCTAATTAATCTCTAAGTGTCGAGGGTGTGACCCCACAGTTACTTGGTGAATGAAGATAATAAAACGGTTGAAGAAGACTGAAGTCCGCGCTGTTTTATTCTCGTGTCATCACCTGGTCTCTTTTTATTTCCTGTTCGACAGCCTGAAAGAAAAAAAATATATTATTGATCAATATTTCACAAGCGCTCTTTCAGAATATTATGAGGATCGTAATGTGTTGTTAATGTGTAATATATTACACACAAAAATCCCCAAAGCTTTTTTTTGTTGTTGTTGCACAAATGAACCACTTTATTCTGTTCACACAAAGCAAAAGCAATTGTTTTAAAAACTGCAGTTTTGCATTTTAGAAAAATGTTATGCAAAAAAACCACAAAAAAAAAAAAAAAAAAAACCAAAACATTTGTTACAGCATAGAAATAATGTTCAGAACAGAATAGTGTATAAAGCAGTAATTCCCATACACAGTAACCATATACAGTAACAATCACTTGTCCACTAGGTAGTAGCAGATGGCAATAAAAAATAAAGAGACTCACATTTTTTGTAGATCGTTGTGTCTTTCTTCAAGTCCTGCTATTAAATCAGCATCGTGTTCAACTAAACAGGCCCAGGTTTCAAACAGACGAAGTAAATTGAAAGCTACAGTAGAAGATTATTATATTTCATAGCATACATTATTTTTGTTTGGCAGTGCACCACGAGATTTTTCTGTTGTAAAATTGATCCATGTCTAACTCACTGCTGCCTTCTAGTGTAAATCACCGTGCAGTGCACATCCTCCATATGGCTGAGTGACAATATTGTTTTATCCTAAAGTGACATAAATGAATGTATAACAAGTACAGTGTGTGAATAAAAACATTTTCTTCAAATATGGTTTGGCGGCCACTGTTGTATGAACACGGTCATTACAACACAGAATACTGACAATGTTCCTATTAAATACAAATGAAGGCTAATCACAGCATAATTTACAACAGCATCACTTTGTCGTGAATACAGTCAGTGATTATGGTAATGATGACATGAGTCACTGCTTCACTGCAATAACTCTGATTGTGCTCATTGTAAGTTTTTTTTTGTCAAACAGGAAATTGTGCAAAATCCCAAAGCAGATTACGAGACTTTATGACGGGCACTCGCAGAAAGCAACATTTAAAAATCAAAGCTTTTTTTCACACAAAAATTGATTGATTTTGCTGACTGAAGAGGAAGTAATAAAAAAAAAAACTTTCCCTCTGCTCCCATCTCTCTTTCAGCTGGTTATTAAAACCAGCAGAGGGAGGACTGGTTTCCATGGCTTTGTATTATAGAAGGTGCAAAAAAAAAAGATCAGCAAGTGTAAATGAGTCAGTAGACGGCGGAAAAGTTTCAATGGAAATGTCTGAAGAGAAGAGCTCTTGACGTTGATATGTTAACTCTCGTTTTTCCATCCGTCTGTTGTGAAAAATATTGTGGAAAAATCATGTAAATCATGGAAAAAAACATGATACTTTCTGAATATAAAACGTCTTTTGTGCTTTTTGGAAAAGTCCTTTTGAGGAGGCAGTCTGCCTCTTACACTTCCATGACGCCACACGGAACTAAATTATTGAACCTCATTGGCCAGCTGCCCACCAATGACCTCCTCCAGGGGTCACTCCGTGGTGTGAGCTCTGGAGCAGCAGTGTGGCTGCTGCATGTTCTCCATCAACTGGCGAAAAGGATTTCTCCTGCGTCTGCTCACCTTGCCGTCGTGCTCGGCTCTCTTCCCGGCTCGGCCTTTACCCGACCCTGAGCACCCCTGCGGGGGTTCCGTGGTGAGCGGTACGGCTGAAGGGTTGAGCGGAGGGGGCGGCGGCATGGACGGCTTCTGCTTCTTCACCTGTTTCTCCAGGTGTTTCTGGATGGCTGAGCCGAGCACGGCCACCTCCACCACGGCGCCGTACACCTCCCATGTCATCCCCTTCTCATCCCAGCTCACCTCCTGTAACGGCTCCTCTCCTTTAAAAAAGCCTTTCTCCTCCTCTTTCTCCTCCTCTTTCTCTTTTGCTTCCATGTCGTCTTTGTTAGCTTCTTCAGCTTTCTTCCCTTTGTTTTCTTCAGGCTCCTGGCTTCCAACCTGCCCCCCCACCATCTTGTCACCTGTTCTGCTCTCCTTCCTTATGTCTGAGAACACTGTGGTGGTGGGTGTTCGTGGGGTCATCGGTGCCGTAGCCACAGAACGGACCTCCGCCCGTTCACCAACTTGCAGCTCGACATCTTTCGTTTCTGTGCCCACAGCTTCACATTTGCCAAAGGAACTTGGAAAAGAGAAGGCGCGGTCGCCCTCTGGAGGGGTCATGGGACTGGTGGCCGCCGACTGACACTGCACCACCTCCAGACTGACCTGCGTGCGCATGTTGTGACAGCCGAAGGGGGCTGGAGACTCTGGGATGGAGGGCTTCGCTGCAGAAACTTTGTTCGACTCTTCACCGTTGTTCTGTCCGCCGCTAGAACCATCGGGTCTCGGGATGGTTATTGGTCGATTCCCAGCAGAATCAGAAGACGCTGCATTCTTCTCTTGAGGAGGATTTTGGTTCCTTGTCCGACTGAGAGCAGAAGCTTCGTCACACTCATCTATTTTCACCATCTCTGGCTCCATGGAGTAAACAACGTCCTCAGTCTTTATTTCCTCTCCTTCCTCGTTGTTGCCATATTGCGTCACCAGGATCGTTATGTCCTGATCCAAACTTCCCATCCTCTGCTGCTTACACTGCTGACTACTGCCCTCCATTGTTACCCCACTCTCTGGAGCTGATCCTGAGCTCGATTCTTCAGTCTGCTCTCCTGTTTTCGTCAACACCACTTTGCTCAGACATGTTGAGGACTTGTCTTCACGTCCTCCGACTTGTCCCTCTCTCTTAAAAAATTCCATCCCGACCAGTTCTGGGAAGGCAGAAGTCGACGGCGTCTTTGGCGTCATCGGGGAGGTGGCAGCCGAGCACATCTCCACCTGCTGGCCCACCTGGAGTTCAGCATCTTTGGTGCCACTGCCCACAGCTCTGGTTCCACCAAAGGAGCTTGGGAAAAAGAATGACTGTCCACCCTCAGGGGGCGTCATGGGGCTGGTGGCTGCAGAGCAACACTGGACCACCTCCAGGCTCACCTGTGTGCGCATGTGGTGCTGCCCAAAAGGAGCTGGGGTAGGTGGGTGAGGGGATCGAGGGTCTGGCGTTAACGGCACCAAAACACTCTCCGTTCCCGTCTCCTCGTCACCTTTGATCCCACCCTCAGACTCGCTCTGAACGTCAGGCGCTCCAGGTCCATCATCGATCAACTGGTTACAGATTTCCAGGTCGATGTTTGTCGTTTCAGACTGTTGTCCACGTGGTGTAGCGTCGACATCGGCAACTTCTCCTGCGTCCGAATCATCAGCCTCCTCTCCTGAGAGCACTTGATTTCCAGACACCGGACTCTCTCGTCCGTCTACAGGGAAGCCGGCATCACTGAGCAGTTCTGGTCGACGGTCCACGTCGGTGTTCGACTCCAGAGGTCCCTCAGGCACAGCGTTGACATGCGAGGCCCCTGTGTGCTCCTTTTCGTCCATCTTCTCTTGACAGCGGTGGTCCTTTGCCAGACTCATCTCATCCTTAAGACTTCCCATTCTGCCTCTGCAGTGAAGGTGTCACAGTACCTGCATGGTTCAACACAGGGATATTTTTATACTGTTATGCAATACACCAGACAAAGATCTGGGTGTTTTTTTCCTCTCTTGAAATGACAAACGATATATAGATTAAAAATACATGTTTATGTATCATGTATCAAATGCTAGATGCTGTTTAAATTTGGAAAATACTTCATGAGTATGTTACTGTATGTTTGACTTTTGAAATGTTTTTAGGAACATTTGCTTTATATTCACCCAGACATTTAAAACTTGAATTTGAGTTGAATTTCTATTTTAGCTCATATTTAAGTCATGCACAGAGATTAGCTCAGGAGAAAAAAACAAACAAACAAACAGAAGGAACGACATCATTTCAACACATACCTCAGCAGTCCGAGCCAAACCGTCTCCTCATCGTTCCCTCTCAGATCTGGTTGAAACACCGTTGCCCCGACTGTTGCCGGAGACGCGTGTACTGTCCGCACTTGTCCCCCTGTTGATTTGAACTGATTGCAGTTGCTACAGGTTTGTCTCTAGAAGAATCTATCTTAGGCAATCCTCGCTCTTTAAGCCGTGGCTGTGTCTGCTGAAAAGCTTCACATTTCCAGTTTCCCTGGAAACCACGGTCGGGTTCTGGCAGCGAGTGGTAATGTGATGACAAAATCTCTGCTCGGCTCCATAATCAGAACTAAATCATAGTAATTAACTCAAGGTTCTCATAGCAACACAAATGCCACTGTAAGCAAAAGAAATCAAACTGTAAATTGCCTCCGTATGCAGAAATTTTGGCGGGGGCACAAATCAGTGATCAGTGTCTGCACGGCGGCTCGGAGTACTGAGTATCTTCACATACTCCAGTATTATTTGGTCAGACAGCCGTACGTGGGGGGTGTGAATGTGAAGGCCACTGTGTATTCGACTACTCTGAGTAAGCGTTGACAAATCCTCTGAATTATCACTGATTATCCAGTAATAAACACAGGAGCAGAAAAAAAAATACTGCAAATATTTGATACAGGTTTGTGTAGCCACTTCATTACTACTGCAGTAGTGGAAGAACTCCAGAGGTATATCAGCTGAAGGAGCTGACAGAAAGCCAGGAGGAAGCCGAGCTCTACCTCCCACACAAACAAACTCTTCA